AATTCCTACGCAACCAATTACCCAAAAACAAAGCAAGTGCCAACTATTGGATACATTTTTGTGTTAACGAGAAAAAAGGAAGAAATAGAAACTTAGATTCTTCTTCCCTACTCTCAGACGACGACGATGTGGAGAGATGTGTCCCCGCCACCGACTCTTTCCACCGCCGCTGCCACCGACTCTCTCTACTGCCGCCGACACCCCTCTCTCTCCGTCGCTGCCTCTCTCTTCTCCATCATCGTCTCTCTCTCTCCTTTGTTTTCGCGACGACGACGACGGCCAGATGTGCTTTCTCTCTCTCCAACGTTGTCGCCTCTGCCGCGATCTCCTTTCCCTCTCTCCACCGTCGCCATCATCGTCGAGGTCTCCTTTCTCTCTCTCCATCGTCGTCGGCGTTCTCTCACCCGCCACAACTTTTCTCTCTCTCATGTGGGCGATGCTAGCAACGCAGAAGAACAAGTTGGAGGAAATAAAAAACTTAAATGAACTTTTTCATAATTCCAAAATTGCCCCTCCCATTATTTAATCATTCATTCCCTTATTTCCACCATTAGATCGATTAATAAGGATCCAACGGCTAGGAGGGGCTTAACTAAGTGACTAAGCACCCCCTCCCCCTTAGTCACCAGATCCTCTCTCATAAATTAGTCTACTAGAGGGACTGTACAATAGCACCCCTCCGGTGGCACTTCAACTCCCTTAGATGCATTTTTAACATTTCATAGATACCTAAAACTCAATCTCTTTCCAAATTTACTCTTTCCCTCTCATCTCTTATTTACGGGAGCGGTTATGGTGATTACTATTCCATAGTAATCACCATGGCTACTAAGGGAAAATTGAGTATGGAAAAGTCTAGAGGGCGTGAACATCACCTTAAAAACATAAAACTCACACATGTCCCACAACAACACTCCTTTCGCAGGCTGAGCATTGTTCACAGTCAGGAGGGTTGAAAATCTCATGTAAACTGCAAACTCTGCAGTTCACTGCTTGAGGTGAAAAACAGGGCATGAAAATAACCTCCAAACACCCTATTGCGGGAATAAAATAGTACCTGTGAGTTTTGAGAGCGGAGAGTTGGGGTTTTCACCCAAAAACACCCAAGGGCGATTCTAGAGAGAGTGATCTAGGAGGCTTCTTGGAGCTATTTTGGAGATACCCAACCCCATTGGAGCCATAAGATCCTCCCTAAAAGATGAAGATTGAAGATCTTGGACCCTATTGTATTCTCTTTCTTATCAAGATAGGAGTTATTCGTTTTGGTCTCCTTTTTTAAACTTTACTGCACTTGGCACAAAAAAATTTCAATTTTGCAAATTGACATGTCTCCCTCATGACCCAGAGTGAAATGAACATTTCCTTCCTTATCAAGGTCCCATGTGATGAACTTCAAGGTAGGATTCATTGCCAGAGCACCAGTTCCCGGCCTACAATCCACGTCTCAACGACAGACGCGTTACCACACATGTCGGGTTCAAACGAGAGAAGAGGGCTCATGGCTACTAAAAGGTGATATGTACCTTGTCATACGAGCCCTTGCGGAGGAGAGGTATTTTAGAGGTGATAGCCAGAAGGTAGTAAAAGATGAACGAGACGCTGTAAAGCTATCCGAACCCCAAGCACATCCTCAATCGACTCCGGACCAAAGAGAAGGGCCCTTCGATGGCTCAACTCAAACACTATGCCCAGTTACCCTCTCATGAAAACCTCATTTTTTTCAAAAGTGAGCACATTTACACACGTTTTTATGTCCAAAAAGTAGAAAGTCTTGCACACAGGTCTTACCTAATCAGCAAACATTATCAACTCACCAAAGAGGAAGATAAGGATTAAATCCCTCATACACCAACAAACTCTTGTAAATGCAAATTACTCTCTATAAAACATGCCATATCAATTATCTAGCATATCATCAAGGTTTCAAACACAAAATCTAAGCGATTCAATACACCAAAATACAAGTAATCGATAGCAAACACCCCCTACACATCGATCATCAATGTCTTACATTCATGATTAAGGGAGGCTACTACCAACTATGGAAAAACCATTCATGAATCATTCAAACATGCATACAATCCCCCCCCCCCCCCCAACACAAACACACTTTAGAGACACATTGTTCTCAATGTGAGAATTCAAAGATAGGTTCATGAATTGTTACCATAGGGTGTTTTGGTGGGTTGGTGTAGGTGTACAAGTGTAAGTCTTTGTCTTTCAGGTTGGTATAGGATGATAAAGCCCATAAGTAGAGAGAAGAGAAGGGGCATGGACGCGAGACAAGAGGGCCTAGGCATGATTGAAAAATGCTAAGTTTGAGAAGACTATGTTGTGTCACGGAAAGGGTCACGAACATGTTTGAGAAGTGCATGATCGCAAATGAAGAGGCCATGCCACCTCATGACCAAGATCGAATGACCCAAAATATTCTAAGTTTGAGAATGCCATGCCGCCTCACGAGAAGGGTCATGTGCATGATTAAGAGGTTCATGGTCTTGTCATGTGATGGCCATGGACTCGAACCAAGAAGCATTAGACACGATTGAAAATACTATGTTTGGGAAGGCCATGTCGTCTCATGAGAGGGGCCATGTGCATGATTGAGAGGTCCATGCGACCTCACAAGAGTGGCCATAGACACAAATGAGAAGGGCGTGGTGGTGGAGCATTATATCAATAGTGACTAAGTCCCAAGAGGGCCATGGACATGAGTAGAAGTCCATGGTCTTCTGGCAAGAGGACCACGACCCCCTTTGTGAGACACCACATGCTTATCAAAAGACTAGCATGGCATGAGATTCAGAACAAGACCATGCGAGACAAGCTACTCTCCAAGACCCACGACGGTTCCAAGAGAGGCACCTAGGCGGTTGAAGGATTAACCACCACTCCAGGGAAGCGGGGAGCTATTCTTTTTGGGAGTTATCCAAGAGGCGGTTTTCTACCGAAGAAGGGGGAGCGGTTCTTTGTAGCAGTTATCCAACAAGCGGTTTTCTATGGCCGTCACCTCCTCGTGGCCATAAATAGGATGAGGGGTCGACAGAGACAAATGTTTCCAAACCCAACACTCTGACACACATGTCAAGTTTATCCTTTTTATTTTCTCTATCAAGTAGCCGTAGACGTACTTTTTAGTTTGGAGCTCTCATCAAACCTCCATAGGATTAGAAGTAACTTAATTTAGATTTTCATTCTCACAAACCATCAATCAAACACCCTCGTTCGAACTTTGTTTGAAGAGGTGTGAGCCGTGTTTTAATAATCGTCGTCCAAAGAAGTCAAAGATGAAATTTTTTTACAATAACATAGATAAATAGTTATTTAAGTGTACTACTACTAGGTAATTAAAAAATTACGAGGTATACGAAAACAAAAAGCATAGAAAAATTAGACATTGTTTAAAGTAGAAAAGCAAATAAATAAAAGAGAGAAAAAATAGGCCCTGGATTGCCTAGTACTTATTAATCCTCCTCGGAGGATTCTTCTTCAAATTCGACTTCAAATTGTTTGGGGGAAGGTGAGCGAACAAAAGGTAGGGAGATATCCGCTAAGGAGATCTCCATCTTCTCCATAATTGCATGTATGCACGCAATAAGGTGTTGCCTCTTGCTTCCTTCTCCCTTCTTTGGCTGTTGAGGATTGTCGCTATCAACGCTTGGGTATGGTAATCACTAACTCGCATGGTAGGTTGGTAGATGAGTCACCCCTCCTCTCGCACGCCTGCTTCTTGTCCCTTCTCGACTTCCACGTCCATTGCATATCCTGATACATGCTGGTTGGTTGGCACCGAGAGACGGAACACCGTGCATTTCATATCCAATGTATTCGTGATTAGGAAGTGAAATTCTTGGAGTCCCCATATACCATCCTCGCTCGGAATCAAATCCTTGCTCCTTGACTTTAGGATTTCGAAGGAAATAAGAGTGGTACCTAGAGTCCATTCGAAACATAACCGCCCAGAAGTCCACTCAAAAGTAACGAGTCGTTTTCATATCTCATTAGTAGTACTTAATCAATAGAACATATGAGCTTCCTTCAACAAAATAAAAAAAAAAATTCTATACGTTCATTCGATTTTCTTTTCTTACATATTTATATATGAAATATTGGAAAACAAAGGTTTATAAATATTTCTACCAAAGATAAAAGATATAGAAATATAAAATCATACCTAATTATAAATTTAAAATTATTGTGAATTTGACTCATATTAATATAATAAAATAATTATATAATCATAAAAATATTATATATGATAAATAGGTAATAGGATGAGAAGTAAATGAAATTTTACTTCAGAAATCGACCATGGGGTGAAAATTTGAGAGAAAAGTTTCATTTTTGGCAGTGCCTATTTTGAGTCTCCTTTCTTATTTCAATAAGAATAAGATTACAAATAAAACATATATGTTACTTCCACCATAACCAATTATATAATGTTACAAAATTAAGTTAAGGTCTCCAAGTTGCCCGTGGGAACATTCTCATTCAATTCTCTATCAATTTTAGGGCAAGCATTCAAAAGAAGGCAAAATGACATATTTGTATTAACATTCTAAATCACAACTCCAACAACCACACCTAGTGTTGATACTTGATAGGATAGTATGAGCATATCTTTTTTTTCGTGACCCATCGATCACAATATAATCAATCTCGCCCAATTAGCAAACCATATAGAGTAAGTGGACAAAGATCCCGTCTTAATAATCCTTCCTTTATAAGAAACCCCAAATCACAATTAGCCCATGATTCAAGGTACATAAATTATGTACAAATATGGTCGTAAAATATTACTCTACCTTAATTCACGATTTTCGAAATGTTACTATATTTATGCACCCACACACCGTCGCATTATATAAGTCGCACATATGCTAGCTACTGCCGGCCGCACAACAAACCAACCAACCCTCACTCTCTCTCTCTCTCTAGCTAGCTCCCACTCCATTCACGAAAAAAAAAAAAACACTCGGAGTCCTTTCTACACAACAACAATGGAAGGTCGCCTGCCACTAGTTCTCGTCTTGTTCCTCGTCGCCGTTCAATCTTCCGCCGGCTACCGTCCCCTAGAGCAATACTATTCCGACGGCCGGTATTCATCGAGGGAAGGCGCCGGCAGAAGATACGTCGACCATTTCCTCGACTACGCAGAAGCTGCTACCGATCACGAAACTAGCGATCTCGCCTACTACGAGCCTCAGCGCTTTGGGAAGTCCACGTTCGACGTGACGGAATATGGAGCTGTCGGCGACGGCAGGACCGACTCCTCCAATGTGCGTTTTTTGTCTCATTCATTATCGTCGAGTATTTTCAACTGTTTATTTTTTTTATATCCATGCATGCACGTACGTAACATCTTTTGTGATTACTGTGAAGGCTTTCCTGAGGGCATGGGACGATCTGTGTGGAGCAACGGGAGGGCGGCCGACTCTCGTCATACCTCACGGGAAGGAGTTCCTTCTTAGCCCTCTTTCTTTCAAGGGTCCATGCAAGTCCAAAAACCTTTGGATTCAGGTAACCCTAATAGAACCCAACTCCGACCCAACCCAAAATCAAAATCATTAAAAATGCGTATGAGTCATGGCAATTGAATCAAATTATTCAATTAGCCTACCCACTTTCATGTCTCTACATAGTGACTCGTTTTTGGTTGCTTCAGCTGCAAGGCACACTCGTGGCACCCGGGAGCATGAACGCCTGGGACGACAACAACAAGGAGAAATGGATTCAGTTCATGCAAGTAAACGGCCTAACCATTTACGGAGGCGGGCAGATCGACGGCCAGGGCAAGATCTGGTGGGACTATTGCCAGGAAGACAAGAGCTGCCCACGACCATCCGTAACACCACAAATCCAATATCCCTAAACTATACGTACCTTCATTTTGTGTTTTTCTGAACTGCATTATATATATGCAATCCAGGCGCTGAGTTTCCACTCGTGCAACAACCTGCGGGTGAGCGGATTACAGCACGTGAACAGCCAGAAGAACCACATCAGCATCAACGGCTGCAACGATGTGGACATCTCCCACCTGAAGATCACGGCGCCGGAGGAGAGCCCCAACACCGACGGGATCGACATCTCCGCCTCGAACCACCTCCAAATCCACGACAGCTTCATCGGGACAGGCGACGACTGCGTGGCCATCAACGGCTTCTCTTCCTACATCAACATCTCCCGCGTCCTCTGCGGGCCCGGCCACGGCATCAGCATCGGCAGCCTCGGCAAAGGCGGCGCGTACGAGACCGTGGAAGAAGTCCACGTGGAGGACTGCACGTTCAAGGGCACGATGAACGGCGCGAGGATCAAGACCTGGAAGGGAGGGAGAGGGTATGCTCGGAAGATAAGCTTCGAGAGGATAAGGATGATCAACGCGGGGAACCCGATCATCATAGACCAGACGTACGTGAACCGGATGGCGGCGGCGTCGACTGATGAGGAATATGATGCTTGGTCGTCGTCGTCGTCAGGGGACGTGGAGATAAGCGACGTGTCGTACAAGGGAGTGATAGGGTCGTCTACCGACGCCAGGGCGGTGTACTTCAACTGCGGGGATGGAGCGGGTTGCAGGAACATTGTGGTGGAGGATGTGGAGATGACGTCTGCGGTTGCTGGGAAGCAGTTGTTTGCGGTGTGCAATAACGCTCATGGGACTTCCAGCGCGGATCGATCGCCGAGGGTTCCTTGCCTTCTGCCATGATAGTCGATAGATGAAAATAGTGAAGTAGGCTAGCTAGCTAGGATGGTAGTATCGTTTTGCTGCATTAATTTAGAGGAGAAAGATTAATAAAATAGTATCGTTTTGTTGCAAAGTGAAGGGTATATCAGCAATTGTTCTAGTTTTCTTACTCATAATTGCTCGGACTACTACTCCATCATCTCCTCGCAGATTACCGCAGCAGCACCTTTCTTTCGAAGTGCTTAACTATGGAGCTCTTCGAGGCGGTCCTGTTAGATGCACGTGGCTAATTCTGAATGAACAATCCCTTGTGTCTCACGCTTCTGCACGCCCTGCTTAACATTCCTCTGCCTCTGCCTCTGCCAGTCTGTCTAGCTAGCTAGCGCTTGAAATGGTTACTGCCTTTGCACTTTTTGTACATTTTTCTGCAGGCAGTTAGTTTCAACAAACAGTCTTCACTGGTACTTCTTCCGATGTTCAGATCCTCGACTTCACTGGCACTTCTTCCAACGTTCAGATCCTCGACTTCACTGGCACAGGTACGAGTCCATTTTGAGACTTGTTGGGTACATGCCATTCTCAGTTCTGGAAATAATGAGCCAGCTAGACTCCCTGCTTACTTAAAGGGGATGATTGCATTTGCATCAATGGCTTTTCACCTTAGATCAACATTTCCGACATCGCCATGGCATTTAGTGTTGGAAGCCTGAGAAAGAATGGAGCCTATGAGACGGTGGAAGAAGTCCATGCTCAGGACTCCCAAGTTCACTAGAACTAGCATGGTGCTAGTATCAAGAAGTGGAAGGTAGAAAATATCCATACCACTCACTCCATTCAATCCCCAACCGAACAATTCATATATTTGTTCAATCCTGTATTTCCTAACCCAAATCGTTTCCTCAGAATTGCTAATTTGCAACACTGATAATGTCTTCTGTGGCACTCATCATTGACCAAGAATACACCTATATGGCGCTTGTTCCTCCTCATGACTTCTCATCAGATGTGGAGATCAGTAACATTCTGTACCGTGATGTGCGAGGAGCCACCGTTGGTGACAAGGCTATAGTCTTGAATTTGTGGGCAGCTACAAGGATGCATCAACATTCAGCTGCCTTGTCACCGTAGCGTAGATCACCCAATCACAACCCTTAATCCTCTTTACTATTACTGCGAGATGAAACTGGTAGCACATAAATAAACATTCATGTAATACTCAATTTTCAGCCCTTATAAAGCAGGATCAAAATACAAAGAATATGTGAAGTTACAATGATACACTGGTACCAAAAAGTTGCAGAACCCAAGAGCTCCGGCTGCCTAATTCCTCAGGCCGACGAGCTCGATGTCGAAGATGAGTGTTCCCAATGTGGACCCTTCTCCATTGGCAAGCCGCGTTGGGTTGAAAATTGTGGTGAACAGCCTCTGCCTGTCAAAGAACTACTCCCAAAACAGAAGCAGGCTACACTTAGAGAAACATGGCAGTTTAATTTCAGCAGATTCAAGGAAAGAAAGGAGGGTAATTATCAATTATGTATAATCTCTAGGAGAAATTGATGCATACATTAGGAGGCAAAGGTTCTTGCGAAGTGTTCTGATAGCCTTGGGAGGGGGGAATCACCACCCGACGAATGCCGCCCACTTTCATCGACTTAACGGCTGATTCAATCCCTGCAATCACTTTTCCAGAGCCGAGAATGAATACAAAAGGAATCGCCTCCCCACTGGCATCTTTATGATCGTAAGTCGAATCAAACCGCCATCCTTGTTTGGCTCCCAACCTTCCATAGTAATGGATTGACACCTTTTTCCAAGCACAGAATTGAAATTCGAAGGAAAAATGAAGAACCCAAATCAGGGAAAAGTGTATTGGGTCAGTGTAAGAGAGAGCGAGACAGAGACGGAGAGGGAGGAAGGACCTGGTCGCCGTCGGCGGGGACTGCGCCGGAACCGACGCGGAGGTCCAACGCCCTGACGCCGCCGGAATTCGGAAGCTCGAGGAAATCGGTGATCGAAGAAGAATAGGCAGGATTGGCGGCGGAGAATGGCAAGGTGGATAGGATTAAGGATGCTGCTGCCGATAAAGCTTTTCGTCTGGTCGTCGTAATTGCCTTGGGCAGGGGAGAAGTTGCGGCGGCGACTTGGGTGGCAGCTGAAGTTGATTCAGCGGAAATGGTAGATGAAGCAAAGCGGACAGAGTAAGCGTATGGTTGGGAAGATAGATTGGGCGCCAAACATTTCATCGCCATTCCAAGTTCGTTGCCTGCTCTTTCTTCGAGTGGAGCTTCCAATTCGCCGAATAGGAAAAAAACAGCAGGCAACAGCCGACGGCCAAAGAATGGATAAGGTGATTAAAGGGCGGACAAAGTTGGGAGTTGGAAATAAAAAGAAATTTTACATCAGTAACGCCGTCTGTGGGAATCGAACCCACGACCACGTGGTTAAAAGCCACGCGCTCTACCGGCTGAGCTAAGACGGCCAGACGGTCTAGGATCGGAAACAAAATATTCAACTTAGCGAACGAGTCCAACTCCGAGCAACAGTGCTTCTCGAAAACTTTCCTTTATGCTCTTTCTATGCTCCAGCTGCCCTTCTGTTCCGGCAAGTGTCGCTGACTGAAGTTGAGGAACGGAGGAGCTGTGGACTCGCGGAGTAAGTGCGGTAGAGCAGAACGTGAGGAAGAGGAGAAAATGGAGAGCAGCGAAGAAGAAGATGACTTCCCATCCATAGAAACCATCACTCCTCAGTCCAAGATCGACTCCCTCTATCAATCCCACACTGAAAAGGTTCGTCCTTTTGTTCATCAGCTACTTCCCGGGTCTCTGCTTGTTTCCTTGAGTTGGATTTCTTTGGATTCGATTCTTGCACCCAACAATGCTTCTATGTTCGGTTTGCTTGTGATCTTCGTATCTGGGCTCTCTTTCTGGGAGTTCAGACGGTGAGCTAGAACTGTGTTTCTTGTCTTCTCTTGGTGTGCTTGAATCATAGAATCTCGGCCCTTGCCACGGCATTGTGAAGATTGGTTGTGGGAAGCTGTTTTCATATGCCTTAATTGAGTAAGCTTGGTCCCATTTCCTCTCTAATTAGAAGGAATTCTTTTTCTGTGTGGTTATAAGCATTAAGAGAAGAGCGAGCGCAGGTTCATTGATCTGTGCATTTTAAACTGTATTCGAGGTAGTTGCATCACAGGCCACTAAAATGTTTGAATACTGTTGGCGTTAAATGTTTGAAGATGGGGTTGGGAAGGGCATTTTCAAATCAGTTTTGATTTGGGTTTTCTGTACTGAAACACCTGGTTTTATGAATACTTGCAGGGTATCCGAAAACTTTGCTGCGAGCTCTTGGATTTGAAGGATGCAGTGGAAAATCTGTGTGGCAATATGCAAACGAAGTACTTGGCTTTCATGAGGTAAATAAGTCGGATTTGGCTGCTCAAAATGTTGAGGAAGCAGATCTGTATATCATGGCCCATACAAATATGTGATGAGATGTCTCTTAAATGACTGCTTTTATTGATTTCTTCTTCATTTTTGCGTCATCCTAGCAATTGAACTGGTTTTTTACAATTTTGTCTCATTTGTTAAAAACCATGATCTAAGTTCTTTTCATGTCACAGAATGTCAGATGAAGTAGTGGAAATGGAGCATGAATTGGTTGAACTGCAGAAGCATATTTCAGGCCAGGGGATTCTTGTGCAAGATTTGATGACAGGTGTATGCCGTGAAATAGAAGACTGGAATGCTATTGACGGTAACAATGTCGCCTCCCAGCAAGATGATGAACTTGAAGACGTGTTATGGAGTGAAGCAGACAATCCTCAGGTGCTTTTTCTGGACAATGTTGATATTCTTTTAGCTGAACATAAGGTGGATGAAGCACTCGAGGCTCTAATGGCTGAGGAGAAAAGTTCTCCAGAACTGAAGGGCTTAACAGATACTTCGTCATCTGAAGAATCAACTTATCGATCAGCTTTTCTGAAGAGAAAGTCAACTCTTGTGGAACAGCTAACTGAGATTGTTCAACATCCATCTGCTAAAACTGTGGAAATGAAGAAAGCCTTGGCTTCTTTAATCAAACTTGGGAAAGGCCCTTTTGCTCATCAAATCCTTCTTGAATTGTATCGATCACGCCTCCGCAAGAACATTGAGGTGTTCTTACCTTCATGCTCATTGTGCCCCAAGACCTTCCCCGGGACACTTTGTAAACTTGTTTTCTCTTCTATCTCAACAGCTACAAAAGAATCCATCCTCATATTTGGAGATGATCCTGTATATACTAGCAGAGTTGTACAATGGGCTGAGTGGGAAATTGAATCTTTTGTGCGGTTGGTCAAGGATAATGCACCTTCCCCAGACACAGTTTCAGCTTTAGATGCTGCTAGTAACTATATTCAGGCTAGTCTTGCATTTTGTTCAATGTTGGAGCCACAGGGTCTAAAACTATCAAAGCTTCTTCTGGTTCTCTTGCGTCCATACATTGAGGAAGTCTTGGAGTTGAATTTTAGACGTGCAAGAAGGCTAATTCTTGATGTGACACAACCTGATGAGAGCTCTGAACTATCGACACACCTTGTGTCACCATTATCTGCTTTTGTAGCATCCTCAGATATTGTTCTTGTTGACAGTGGGATAAGATTTATGGACATAATTGAGGTAAGTTGATGATCTTTCATGGTTTTGTTGCTGTTTGTGATTGTTGGCCTTGACACATAATTGATTGGCATTTGTTATTAACATTGTTCTTAATATGTATGTTTCAAGCTTGATTTTCACTTCTGATGATGTTACCTCCCTAAATTTTATGCTTGTATCATGCATATATGATAGTAGTCTCCACTTACGAATTCCTAGTTGACTTGATCTTCTTTCTCTTATATGCTGTTGACCAATTTATGGAATATAACTTTCTAGAAAAATGATTTCTACAGGACATACTTGTTCAGTTGACTCCTCCAGCTGTCATGCATTTTGGAGGAAGTGTGCTGATGAGAATAGCACAGCTATTTGATAAATACATGGGTGTGCTCATCAAATCTCTACCAGGACCCTCCGATGATGACAATCTTACAGAGCTGAAGGAAGTCATACCATTCAGAGCAGAGACAGATGCAGAACAACTTGCATTGTTGGGAATGGCATTCACTATTCTTGATGAACTCTTACCTCATGCTGTGAAGATGGTTTGGAGTCTGAAGAAAGAAGGGAAGGAATCTAATGATGACATTGCTGCTTCAGCTGCTACTTCGAGCATTTCCGGGGAGTTGAAGGACTGGAAGCGACAATTGCAGCATTCATTTGACAAGCTTAAGGATCATTTCTGCCGCCAGTATGTACTGAGTTTTATCTATTCAAGAGAAGGAAAGACACGACTTAATGCACAAATCTACTTCGATGGCGACGGAGAGGATTTAATACGAAGCTCGGAACCTCTGCCTTCATTGCCATTTCAGGTTTTACCTTGGTCGATCCTTTTCTGAATGTTACATGGATTTACTTGTTATAGACATTCATTTTTATGTATTAGGCACCCTGTCGGTTTTGGATGATGAGAACGAGTGCATACAGTAATTAACTTTCACTTAGGTGGATTATAATGTGGGACACTCTTTTCGGTTTGGAATTTTGTTCTGACAAGATCTTTGAACTTCGCATTTCAGGCACTGTTTGCAAAGCTGCAGCAGTTTGCAACTGTGGCAGGAGATGTATTACTCGGGAAAGAGAAATTACAGAAACTCTTGCTTGCTCGGCTCACTGAAACAGTAGTCATGTGGCTTTCTGATGAACAGGAATTTTGGGGTGTATTTGAGGATTCTGCTATTCCAATTAAGGCACTAGGGTTGCAGCAGGTAATTGTGATATGCAGTCGTTTACACTTGCACCTAGCAATCATCATTTGTTCCAAAGTATTGAATGTTTACTCGATATGGTCCTGTCTGGCAGCTACTTCTTGATATGCATTTCACAGTGGAACTTGCCCGTTTCGCTGGTTACCCATCCAGGCAAGTGCACCAAATCGCCTCAGCCATAATTGCTCGAGCAATCAGGACTTTCTCAGCAAGAGGAATCGACCCACAAAGGTACTACTAATCCCCAGATCACTTGGCATTTCTTCTTTTATATCCTTCAATACCACTACTCTTAAATTAAATCTGTCTACCCTTCAGCGATTAGACCACTGAGTTTGTTGCTTGAACTATTTGTGAGAACAGTGCCCTACCAGAAGACGAATGGTTTGTTGAGACTGCAAAGTCGGCCATCAACAAGCTTCTGGCTGGGTCGGAATCCGAGGTTGACGATGACGACGATGGGCACATAATTTCTCATGGGAATAGCATCTCAGACTCCGACGATACAGCATCTTCCCTCTCATCGGTAGAATCCACCGAGTCATTTGTATCAGCAAGTATGGGTGAAATTGAGAGTGCTGGGGATCTGACTGATCCTGAAGCTTGAAGAGTGATCAACACACCGCCAAGGCTTCCCGTTGCTGTGCGCCTCTCTCCCTGCAACTAGAAATCTGAAATATGCAGTGTTCAGATGGCAGCTTCCCTTATGGTTATCAATCAATGTAGCAGTTTCTATGTATTGAGAATAGATTAGACATTAATTAATAGTGTATACTTGTGATTAGAATTATGGTGCTAACTATTGATCGCTTAGTTCTTATTTCGGCCAGTTAATTGATTACTGTTTACACCATAAAAGTTGGCTTGTACCACATTGGTGAATTACAAGATAATTAATAAGCTTATAAGGCCACCCCCATTATAACAATTAATGTTGTTTAAGTTGGGCCTTATGGATATTGATTTTAAGCCCAAGCCACTAAGTCTAAAGAGGGACATGCCGCATCATCAAACCGAGTCGCGTCCGTATTAAATCTAGAGGCCATGCCGCCTCACCAATAAGACCGAAGGAGGGAAAATTTAACTAAGTCCGGAAGAGGCCATGCCGCCTCAACGAAGAGGCCATGCCGCCTCATCAAAGAAGAACACGTCCATCTAGAATAAAGAAACACATGCTATCTCAAGGAAGGCCCGGTAGGACAAAAATATTCTAAGTATGAGAATATAAGGCCATGTGGATGATTAAGACGTCCATGGCCGTGTCATACGTGACGGCCATGGACGCGAGACAAGAGGACACGTGAAAAATACTAAGTATGAGGAGGGCCAATGCCGTCCAAGAGAAAGGGCCACGGACATGAATGAGAAGTCCATGGCCGCGAATAAAGAGGCAATGCCGCCTCATGATCTAAACAAAACAACCGAAAATATTCTAAGTATAGGGAAGGACTTGCTGCTTCATGAGGGAGGCCATGTCCATGATTGAGAGGTCCATGGGAGCAAACAAGAGGCCATGCCGCCTCACGAGAGGGGCCATGGACACGAAGGAGAATGACATGGGGATGAAATATTATATCACTAGAGACTAAGTCCCAAGAGGGCCATGGACATGAATAAAGAAGTCCATGACCGTGATATATGAGGCATGCTACAAGCTCCTACGACGGTTTCAAGAGAGGCACATGGGCGGTTGAGAGATAACTGCTACTCATCCCACGTTCAAAGGACACGTCAGCCACGTTCCGAAGAAGCAGGGAGCAGTTCCTTTTGGAGGTTATCCGAGGCAGTTTTTCTACGACAGTTACCCACTCAAGGCTATAAATAAGAGGATAGAGCGACAGAGAAAAGCCCGCAAAAATCACCACTCGACACTACTTGTCAAGTTTTATCAATCTTATCTTTCCTCTGCAACTTTTTATCAGTAGTCGTAGATTTGGAGCTCTCTCAGAACCTCCATAGGAGTAGGAGTAACTTAATGTAGATCTGTTTCGAGAGTCGTGTAAACATCGAACACCCTCGTTCGAACTGTGTTTGAAGAGGTGTGAACCGTGTTTAGTGATCGTTGTCCAAAGAAGTCAAAGGTGCAATTAATTCATTTCAACGCAAGTTTTCTCGCCGGAGAACAATTACTAACCCTGACTTTGTTTGTCTGGAGTCTGGCATCTCTCTCTCTCTCCCCCCGAAAAAGCAGATAATACTCTTATCCGTAAAATTCTTCAGAAACACATTGATTTCCCAGTTTTATTATCCAAGTTACCACACTACACCAGAAACAAATACAATACACAAAGCCAGCCCAAACGGGGATTTCACTCCCAACTCCGCAACTTGTTCCACTCTGGCACCATGGATTAGAAGCATGGTCCATGAAACCGTACCAGAAAAGTTAGCGGTAGGGTATTTTATGACAAAACCGTAGTTTCACCGTAGTTCAACCGTCCATACCGTTAAATATCGCCTACTGGTTTAGCCTCCGATACTGATATTTTGTGGTTGAACCGTCGGTACGATACGGTTTCATGGACCGTGATTAGAAGGCTACCCTTCTATCTGCCTGTCCAGACTTCATACGACCCAAAATAAAGCTTCATATCAGTAGCATCAGTTGCGACGGTGACCTCCAGCCTCTCTGTCTCGAACTCTTTATCGATCTCTGCTTGATCTGACAGCTTTATCTTTTTAGCTGTGTACTTCCCTGCCTGCCCTATCTTACCCATCAAGTAAACAGAGCAACCATTCCAACCGAATGCCCCTGGCTTCATCTGCAGCCTGAAGGAAATTGCATACTTCTTCCCAGCCTCTATGCTGTCTTTCAATGAGGTGATGGTGCCTTACTTCAAGCCAACTCACCTGTAACAGCTCAGCCGTCCTTCCATCCCTGTTATTCAGACACCATACACAGAACCAATCACTGTCGGTGGAGTGAAGTTAAGATGCATAGTGGTGGGAGAAGCCATGATTTTTAAAACTTACGTGGGAACATGCCAGTAGCGACCATCCTTTCCCCATACGATACTGAATGCTCTAGGTTTAAACCAAGATGATTTAGCAGCCTGCAAATCCATTTATATTTCCCTCCAGTTAGAAGGCATAGTTATTCTTGTCTTGATATGGGGAGAGGCAGTTCAAAAAGATACTTATCTGCAGTGCTCCATTTCAACATCAAGGAAAGAATTGATCTATCAACCCCACACAGTTCCTCAAATCTTCTCCATATCATGGATTCATATGTTACGACCTCTGTAAAGCATAAAATTTGTGCCTTGGAACTGCCCACCAGATTCTGCAAATTGAATTCAGTGAACAGCTAATAGTAGTCGGCTAGTCGCCATCAGGGATTGGTCGCTGCATATTTGGAACTCATCTATTCCCACATCAGGTCTCTAGATACTTTCAAGAGTATCAACATTAAGTACCTTTCAAGAACTCAAACTGAAAAACAGTCATAAAAGTGACAGCTAACTTCATTTCATTTACAGTTGTAACTTCCACAGCCTCTGACTTATTTATCTACCTTGCCTTCACCTTGATTCTTCACTTCGCTGTGTACTGACTTCTGCTTTGGCGACAGCCTTAAACATCACTTTACTTTCCGCTTTTCAAAACAAATATTCTAGAAACATAGACAGAGCCTAAATCAATTAAAATCTCCAATTGGTTGGCTAGAAAAGCATCCTGCATGAGTTCCTGTCAAGAGAAGATTCCCAATTACTTCATTAGAGATTGGAATTCCACTCACGTGGATGAATAATTGTATTGTTTTCCACTTCTGTGATTCTTCTCACAAAGACTACTGAAGAATGGAAAAGGAATCTGCATTTCTCGGGTCTTTGTTCCATCCATCTAACAATTTTCCAACCCGCAATAAGGAGTCCAGTTCATATCAAAATATCCATTGAAAAGATTATTACATCACTGAAGTGGTTCATCGCACCCTTCCTAAAATATCAGTGCTGTTCATCAAACATTAACTACCAAGCAATGCAGATAGAAGTAGAGTAACAAATGTGTCCCCCAAATTTGTAAATCAACCCTCACGAATTTTACTCCTTGGGAATGGGTGTGGAAGCCAAGTCTTCCATCGTCACCGGCTTGTGTAGCTACAGTCAGAACAAAATTTCCATGGATATGAAATCAAAACAGGAAAAATGAGACGGGGAAGGGAGGAATAAAAGAAGAAACTAAAAAGGGGAAAGAACAGTGTTTGTCCATCAACAAGCAGAATGCAACTTTTTTCTGCCCAACGGTTACCACAGACAAAAGATCCATAACACTTAAGCAGCTAATTTGCTAGACCTATGCACATTGATTCTCTTCGGTTTCTAGAAGTGTACTTCACCGTAATAGCTTCATCTACAATTGGTATTGCTGATGCAAGATGTTATAAAGATCCACTTTACAAGGAAATTAAAAGGGTAACTAAAGAAATCACGATAGGGGTAGCACCAAATTGAAGCAAACACGTAAAGATTAACACTCTAGAGTCCAAGTTCAAACCGAAACGATGATTGGCTTAATACTAGTGTCATGGTATGATTAAACCACAGATGATCCATTCCAATGTTATCTTTATTCTTAGAGAAGCTCATGATGTCACAGAAAGAAAACTTACAGCTTCTGCAACAGATAACCAATGGAGAGACCGAATGAACGTATCATCTTGTGAAGGTATAGTGTCGTGATTCCAGTAAGTTATATTCTCAAACTTTGCACTCGGTTCCCAACAGTTAGAGTTGACATCAGAAACTTTCCTCTTGCCAATACTTTTCTTCCCCAAGACAAATCCTGCAAAGCACCAAGACCCAAAACAAGGAATCATTTACTTGCTAGCAACAAACTCAAAAGTCACTTGGGCAAAGCCAAAAATTTAACGCGGGAGATAAAAGAAGATAGATACAGGAGAGGCAAATTCGGGTACCAGAATAGCCAGATGGGATGGGAATCGCTACACCATGTAGCTTTCTGCCCCTGAAATACGCTTGCTGCTCTGCCAGTCCATCAACTTCTAACCCTAATTCGGTAAATCCCAGAATGACGATAAATATGCATATTCCGAGGAGAAAAAGAGAGAGAGAGAGAGAGAAACATAAGAGCTAAGTGGGGGTGAAGGCGGGCGGAAGAATACCAGTGGATTTAGGCTTGAAGTAGTCCGAAACGTCGGAAGGGCCGTCGTACTTGATACAGCAGGGCAGGTGGTGGACCTCGCCGGTGAGGTCCGGAACTCCGGAATTCGTGCCTTGATTTTTGTTCAGAGTTATGATCCCGGCGGTTCCCATCTTCAGATTACTGTCTTTATCCATTGATTTTCGCTTGCCTTTCCCCAGCTCCCAACCTATCTATTCCCTCTGCCGGCTAGTTCCTCGACTTGGGTTTTCTGTTTTTTTTGCTCAATTCAATTGATAAGCCGTAACCTTACTATTTTCCCGCCCTTTTCAGCCTCCGATTCCCTATCCCGCTTTCCTTTTTTCGACAAAAATAATTTTGTATTGATTAAAAAAGACATCAAACATTGGCATATAATCAGACAAGGAAATCAAAATACCAACACGTAGTCGAGTACAAAGAAATGTCTTTTCTAGCCACCAAGTGTACTATCCTATTACTATTCCGACCTACAAATCGTACATTAAGACCATTATGATATGCCAGCAAACAACAAACTTAATCAAGAATCGCACCAGAGAGATTATCTTGCTTATCTGGTTGGTTGACCTTATCAATGAGCACCTTCGTGTCCCCTTCCAACCGAACCTGCGAGAGTCCACAATCCAGACACCACTGGATTGCCTCGCGGAAGACTAATAGTTCCACTATTGGTGGATCATCAATATAATTGATATGGACACCCCGAGTCAAGACAATCAAACCACTCTTGTCCTTTATAATCATCCCCCCCCCCCCCCCGAGTGTGATCCATTCCTTGTTGCACCATCCCACATGCAAGTAACCGAGCCTAAGATTGAAGCAGCCGCACTCTCAATCTGGGGAGTGTCGTTGAAGTCACTCTGTCAGCTAGTAAATCGAACCATTCCTTGACTTGTTGATGATACTGTCGCATCAACGCTATACCTCAAAATTGTTTTTCTTCAAAGAACCGCCAGAGAGCCACAACAATAAGCATACTCTAATGGAGTTGATTAAGCAGAAACATCAACTTCTTAAGAAAAGATGGAAGTTTTGGCGAGGGAGCCCTTGGCCTAGAGATTCTAGGGCAATGTGATCCCAAAATTTCCCTTGCCAACATATAGTAAAAAAATACATGCTCCATAGTCTCCGATTCAGCCCAGCAAACCGGGCATCGGGGTAACACTTGAGCCTACCTCTCGAGCAGAGCTTCCGTGGTAGGAAGGATGCGAATGAGAATTTTCCAGAGAAAAATATTAAGCTTAAGAGGAATAGAGAGGTCCAATATCCAAATCCAGCTTGAACGATCTATCCAAGTGACCGTCTTTCATCTTCTTATATATTGTTTTGTTGGCAATTCCACAAATGAAGTCTAAAACCTTCATGAATGAAGTACATAATGATAATAGGAAGAGTATCAAGCTACTTTCGGGGAAATGCGGTTGGGATGGTAATCAAAGTGATTGTGGGTATCAGACTGTTTAAGATCAAGTCAGTGCGGGACAATAACGTTATGGTGCACCAAGCACATTTTGTGTGAATGTGTTCAAAGTCTTCCCATTGATTCACATCACCCAAACTAAAAATGAGTGGTCAGAAATTGTTGGTTTAAAGTAGGGATTAGAAATAGGTTTTTCCAAGACTCGAGGGAGCCAAGTCAAGCCAAACCTTTTCCTTTCCATCTCTGACACTTTTACTTTCTCATCCACTCTCTTTCACTTCAGCTTTCTCATATCCCTTTCTCTCTTTCATTTTCCTCTTTCATAATAAAATTGTTCTTCGTTCTCTCTTCTATTCTGACGAAGAAGCTGACAACCAATCCTTCCCAAATCTGTCGTCCTCTTTGAGGCTTGGAGGCGAGCAACAAGGGCATTGGAGCTAAACCAGGGAGTAGTGCAGAGATCCGGGAGATCTTCAAAACTGGGACAACCCACATTCAGTATTAGAGAAATATTAAATTATTTGATAAACTCACATTTAGTACTAGAGAAACTCATATTCCACGATTTGATACTCATGTTCAGTACCAAGTCACAAATATTAAGTCAAATAAACCAATCATCTACGGTACTCGTTCGACTAATATTCAACATGACACCACGTAAACTTATATTCAATACCAATTTAAATGATATTCAGTGTTTGATAAACACATATTCAGTATTGATATGTTTTTTAATAATGGTTAATGTGATTAGGAATACTGGTTCAACACATAATGAATATTTGTTCATTTTGTGGATACTTGTTGGTCTTGAAAACCTCGACAATATGTCTGGATCGCTTGAGACCTCATCAAATATTTGTTGAACTAGTCAATTGAAAATGTGGGACAGGGCAACAGTTAACATATGAATGTAAACCAATTAGTATACATTATTGAAAATGAATAGAAAATATATTTTGGTACATAAGAAACTAGTATTATGTACAGTTGAACTAGTATCCAAACATTACAAAATATATTTTGAATACCAGTTGGCTTCATAATGAATACTACTTGCAATGAGTTAGAATACTAGTTTATTACTAATAATTAAATATTATTTGGTGCATGATGAATACTAGTTGTTATCATTTGTATAATACTTGGCCGAATAATAAAAACTACTTCAAACATATTTCGCTTGTTATGATTACTTTTGTCTGTTAGTAATATTGATTTGTGTCTAGAGTATTTGTTCGTCTATGTGTCGAATATTTGTTTATATGTTTTAACAATAGTATAATTCGGAATAAAGATGAACGTACCAGTAATCAGTGAGAGCTCAAAGAGAGCGGCAACGGCAGGGGAAAAATTTGACGATGGGAAGAGAGGATAAGCGACAGCGATAGACGGAGTCGGCAACACCTCTCATCTTTAAATAACACTTTCAAAGAGAAAAGAGGAAGAGATAAACTGGAAAAAAGGGGAAAGAAGTTTGAGAGAGAATGGACACTTTCAGAGAAAAAAGATAAAGAGAGAAGGTGGAAAAAGAAAGAGAGAAATGAGAAGGAAGAAGCCTTTCTCTCTCACCTAGTGGTCCCTATCTCTTTCCCTCGGGTGTACATGGGCATTGGGCTGTGCTTGGGCCAACACGGCCCGGACACGCTTCGAGCCCATTTATTTTGTGTCGTGTTTGGCACGACCGTCAGTTTTCGTGTCATGTCGTGTTAGCCCATTTGTTAATTTTGCTAGACCTAGACCTGGGCACGATTTGAATCATGACGTGCTTATCCGTGCTCGTGTCATGCTTATATTCGTGTTTAATGAAAAGGAAGAAAATAAAAGTGGGAATGAAAAAGAAGGAACAAATTGGGCGGAGAATGAAACTATTAACCGAGAATGTTTAATAAATGTAACAAATGGGGGGGGGGGGAGAAAATTGGAAGTATAGCAGGTGTGATTTGACTTTGTTTAATACTTCGTCTATTTTTACTTATGATAATAATTATGTATTTATCTTTATGATCACTTTTAACAATAGTAAAATAATATTTATTCTACTTGTATTTTTTAAGATTTGAACTTATAATCCTTTTTATATTTATCTTTTCTCAAATAAATATTCTTTTCATGTCATGTTCTTTCTTATACTCAATAGGGTCTCGAAAATATTAGGTCGGCACGGCCCACTTAAATAACGTGTCGTGCCCGTGCTTGTGCGCGTGCCTATGAAGTTTAGGCCCGGCACGACCCATAATTTATGCATGCTCGTGTCGGGCTAACCCATATATTTTGTGCTCGTGCTCTATCCATGTCGTGTCATGCTAGCCCGTGGGTTGCCTGGCCCAAATGCCCACGTACATCCTCAGCTAAGCTCAGTCGACTTCAATTCACAGCTTCTCTCTAACCCGAGCCTGCCCTCCAGCCAACAATTCCTAACAACTCGTTTTGCTTTTAGTGATGTGGACCAATGGATACTCTTTGAACACATGCACGTAAAATGTGTCTTGTACACTATAGCGAGATTGAGTGCGGGAAATCTTTGCATTGATTGAGTACTGGCTTGGAACAAGTAAAATCCGTAAAGAGTTTGATAATGAGGGACTGATATGATTTTATATATTTTTTTGGCTCATATCAATACTCATACACGCTTCATCAAAAGTATTTCTTTATATATAAAAAAATATAGGGATCATACTGTAATATGTCAAAATATAAACGATAAATTAAAAATATAAAGAGTTTAAATGTAATTGAGTAGCCACTCGTTTTATCCTCTAATTTATTTCCCTCAATCACACTTTGTCCTTCATAGGTCAGGTTTCCCCGTCCCCGTCCCCGGCCACTCAACGGGGAGAAAACTGTTTCCGTCACCGTCAAGCAACGGATTCAGGGAAACCACGGGTCCCCGTTACCCGGCAGAAACAATTGTATAATTAACATATTCAAAAAAGAAAGTAACTGGAAAAACATGTAATTCAATTGAAATCCAAAGTCATGTGAAACAAAAGCAACTAACATCAAGCCTACAAGGCTGCAACCCTCCCACCACCCAAAACTCTGAATTTTCAGTAGTTCTTCAATTGTTCGACATCAACTGTCTCATAAGTAAAGTAACAAAGAAAAAACAACTCAAACTCTCAAAGGCAATAAGCCACACACCATTGTTCAAATTTGGAACAAAACTACTGAACCATAACTAATGATCCGAACATACTAAATACTACTAAAACATAAGCATCTATAGATACTAGCATTCCAATATCCACTATCCAGCACCAGCAAGGCAGCAACCAGATTTGAAGAGAAGAGAAGAGAGAGCGGCGAGTTTCCAATTAGGGATTAGGGTTTACCTCGAGCCCGACTGAAGGCTATGTATATGGTTATAATACGGCGTCGTTTTCTGGACCGGGCGAACTCGAGGCGGATAGCATGGACTCCGTCACCGCTCGCCATCCGTTACCTACGGATAACGGGTTTCCCCAAATCCGTCAACGCCGGGTTGGAACTGTTCCGCCCAGTCGGGTTTCGGGCGGGTACCGCCCGCGCGGTTTGAAATGCCAACCCTAGTCCTTCGCTCTTTGCAAACCCATGATTTTAAGTTATTCAATATGCTCTCCCATGCATAAATTTTTTTGATTCCACTAATTTGTCAGATGGATTCATGAATATTTTAGAATTGAATGCTTTATATTCATATTACAAATTGTTGTATCTTTGTTGATTTGATAATTTCATACTTTGAATTCATATTTATCATTCCCATCTCCGCAATTATTTGGCCTCTTCTATGCAATTACTTAACTCTATCTTCCACGTATAATTGCATAGT